ATACTAGTGGATTCATTCAAACTGGGCTAGGCCCCGTGGTTTTTCCCCCTTTTACAGGGGTTTTTCACGTAAAAATCTTGGTGTCTCATAAATGCTAGACCATCTCTCCTTGTCTGATTGCGTGCCGGATTTTCGTACAACGCTAAGACGATAAAATTTATATTTCTCTACTGCCGCGAATACTCCTGGACGCAACAGTTTGGCGCCGTTTGTGGGAACGTGGTTCCCGACTGGGGGGCAACTTTTGCTCCAATCTCAAAAGTTCACACATAGCATCAATATCATAAGAAGCAGATGCGGACTGGGGGGCAACTTTGACTCAAACCATGGTCAAATAGATCCTCTAATACCTTTAACATCAAGTTGATATTTCAGGAATATCCGAGCAAATGTAAGGATACTTCAAATCAATTGCAAGCTTTATGCAGTCCCTTGTTGGACTTATACTCTTTGGGCAAGGTCTTAACCTCGACCTCAAAAAGGCAGTAACCGTCTAAAGATAGACCTTCTTCACTTTCGATTCGGGATATACACGACGTTCACCCCCTCCCAATCAAAGCAAAATCAATCCCAGGGGGATTCGATTCGACCTCTTCCACACAGGTTAACGTCGTCGAGCAAAGGCTCCGACATACAACCTCGGAAAGGTTTCACATCCTTGGTGGATTCTCTCGACCTCTTCCACACAGGTTAACGTCGTCGAGCAAAGGCTCCGACATACAACCTCAGAAAGGTCTCAAATCCTTGGTGGATTCTCCCGACCTCTTCCACACAGGTTAATGTCGTCGAGCAAAGGCTCTGACATACAACCTCGGAAAGATCTTACATCCTTGGCGGATTCTCCCGACCTCTTCTACACAGGTTAACATCATTGAGCGGTGCTCTGACATACAACCTCAGAAAGGTCTTACATCCTTGGTGGATTCTCTCGGCCTCTTCCACACAGGTTAACGTCGTCGAACAAATGTTCCGACATACAACCTCGAATAGGTCTCACATCCTTGGTGGATTCTCCCGACCTCTTTCACACAAGTTAATGTCGTTGAGCAAAGACTCTGACATACAACCTAAGAAAGGTCTCACATCTTTGGTGGATTTTCTTGACCTCTTTCATATAAGATAACATCATCGAGCAAAGGCTCTAACATACAACCTCGGATAGGTCTTACATCCTTGGTTAACGTCACCAGAATGCTGTCAAGGGACTTCCATTTAACTTCTCCACAAAGTTAAAAATTCTATCTGATGTTGAATTTCCTCCTGTCGCTGAACTTTTGTCTTGCAAGACTTTCAACGGAATAATACCACGTCAGCGGACTTCTACTCTTCGTCAGACTCCTGCTCGTCGACGAATTTTCGTCTGTCTTCTACCCGACTTTGAACTTATACCTGATGTCGAACTTCTGTTCATCAGCGGACTTCTACTCGTCGTCAGACTCCTGCTCGTCGACAAATTTTTGTCGGTCTTCTACCCGACGTTGAACTTCTACCCGACGTCGGACTTCTGCTCGTCATCGCACTTCTACTCGTCATCAGGCTCCTGCTCGTCGACGAATTTTCGTCGGTCTTCTACCCGATGTCGGATTTATGCTCGTCAGCGGACTCCTACTCGTCGTCAGACTCCTGCTCGTCGACGAATTCTCGTCGGTCTTCTACCCGACGTTGAACTTCTACCCGACGTCAGACTTTTGCTTGTCAGCAGACTTCTACTCGTCGTCAGACTCCTGCCCATCGATGAATTTTCGTCTGTCTTCTACCCGACGTTGAACTTCTACCCGACGTCAGATTTCTGCTCGTCAGCGGACTCCTACTCGTCGTCAGACTCCTGCCCATCGACGAATTCTCGTCGGTCTTCTACCCGACGTTGAAATTCTACCCGACGTCAGACTTCTGCTCGTCAGCAGACATCTACTCGTCGTCAGACTCCTGCTCGTCGACGAATTTTTGTCAAGCTTCTACCCGACGTTGAACTTCTACCCGACGTCGGACTTCTGCTCGTCAGCGGACTCCTACTTGTCGTCAGACTTCTGCTCGTCGAAGAATTTTCGTCGGTCTTCTACCCGACGTTGTACTTCTCCTTGTCGTCGGGCTTCTGCTCGTCAACGGACTACTACTAGTCATCGGCTTCTCGCTCAACTTCTACTTGCAACGCACACTCGAACTCTCTTCTTTGGCTCCACACTCGATCGTTGACTGCTAATGGGCTTCAACTCGATCGTCCATCGCCAGTAAACTTCCGCTCAAATGGCATTAAAAATCTCATAACTCCTGCGCGCGAGGAGGGCGCTAATTCGAGCAGGAGAAATTTCCCGCTCGCAAATAGCGGAAGCCTCAACCGCGAGAAAGCCGTGGGGGAAGGAAGAGAAATCTCGTAACTCCTACGCGCAAGGAGGGGCGCTAATTCGAGCAAAAGAAATTTCTCGCTCGCAAATAGCGGAAGCCTCAACCGCCAGAAAGTCGTGGGGGAAGAAAGAAAAATCCTGTAACTCCTGCGCGCAAGGAGGGGCACTAATTCTAGCAGGAGAAGTTTCCCACTCAAAAATAACGGAAGCCCTGTATTGGAACCAACCCCTCAAGGTCAAGCATGTTTTATTTGAGTCTAATTGACTAGTAGTTTAACCCGATGGTTCATTTGAACCCAAGTTAGCTTAGTTGAACCCAATGTGACCCAAATCCACACTAAATTAATTTGATCTATTAGCTACTAGCGGACTAAAACTAACCCTGACCAACTATAGAACCTAACCAAGCTAGCCCAACCCAAGATAGCCTAGGTCAAGTGATTTAAAGTAAGGTTAGGAAACTAATCATTTCAAACTCTCCTAACCCATGCATAGGAAAAATTATTGCGTCCTCCCACCTGACGTAGATATACGTCCTCCCAGAGCTAAAATCGCACTAAAAACGAGAAATATCGAGCAAATGTCGAGCAATACCAAACAATAACGAGGAATATTATCATGTGAAGACCAATACCGAGTTATACCGAGCTATACCGAGCAATACAAAAAAATACCGAGTTTTTCCTAGAAAAAACTCGGTATTTTTTTGTATTGCTCAGTATTGCTCGGTATAGCTCGGTATAACTCGGTATTGATCTTCACATGATGATATTCCTCGTTATTATCAAATAATACCTAGCAATATCGAGCAAAAACCGAGTTTTTTGGTGGTGGGAGGACGTATCTCTACGTCAGGTGGGAGGACGCAATAATTTTTCCATGCATAGACCTATGTTTACTACCCTTTAGAAATTCAAACAGGTAACAACCTTCTGTTTGGCAGCTCATCTCCCCAATTCATTGATTGCAATAACTTAACCATGGTAAATTATGGTTTGTTAAGTGGTGATATATCAATTCATTTTTGAAGTGCCTAAGAATTCAATCTCGTCACTCCAAAGATCCACTTGATTTTTTTTTAAATGGATAGATTACTATCGAAATTTCCCTCATGACATATTTTTTGGTTCACCTCAACTTGCTAGGACTCAAACTTGCTTCAGTTCATCTTCGATTCAATTCATTCAAGAAACATGAAATCAACATCTTAACTCTCCATCCGAGAATGAGTATAATAGTCTCATTTCCTAAAGGAATGATTAGGGATTCAAGAGATGTAACCATGGTTCTTCCATCAAAGCCTAGAAGTTGGGGGTATAAATGAGTCGAGTCGAGCTCATGTCACCCCTAGCTTGTGCTTGACCTTTATTTTATGTGCTCGAGACAACTCGTTTTTCATGAAAGAGATAAAATGATTATGATTTAAGAAATTATTATAATTGTTGCGGGCTAGAAATTATGCGGCGATAGAGATTTGATTCTACGTCTTAGCGTTGAACGTATAACTAGCACACACAGAGAACACAAGATATATAAGAAAGTGATATAATTTACTAACATTTTAACAATTTTCTACTCAAATCCTAGATGCTAATATATTTTAACAATATTTTATATTAATATTATTTCAACAACCCTGCTCGAGAGCTATGGCTCTAGTGCTAATGAGTCGAGTCAGAGATGTCTCAAACTTGGCTCGTTAGCTTATCAAGCTCAGCTCACAAGCCCTTTGTCATGTTGAGTCCAAACCGGCTCACATAGATGCTCGAAGATAAACTTAAATCGTACAATCGCAATAGTCAACGGTATTATTTGGATACGAATATTAGGTTATATAAAAAAAGTCATTGGTTTTTAAGTTGATTGTGATAGAAATAAGCTTGTAAAAATGGATGTGTACAAACAATAAGAATGATAAATTAAGAAATAGTTATAATAGAGAAGAAAAAAAAAAAGAGAAGATCTAGAGTTATATGGATAACAATTGTTAAGAACAATAAGTGAATATTATGTTTAATAGAGAATTTAATACAAACATAAGAAAAATAAAGACTAAAATATCATTTGAAATAAAGAGTGAGGATGAGGATGGGTTTTAGCCTTCATTCGGGATAAATTTTTTTCATGCTTTCTAAAATAATATTTTAATAAAAAAAATTCGAATAAATAAATTTTATACTAAAATGACTTTAGAAAGAATTAAGAAAGCTGTCTCAAATGAAGCCTTAAATACACTTCGTTAAGAAGTAGGCCTGAAATAACAATGATAAATTGATATACTTATTTTTAACAAAAAAATACTTTATTTTTTTAAAATAAATTTTAACCTAACTACGGATCTATAACCATTCAAATCATCCCATCAGGAGCTGTGTGAAATCTACTTATCATTTGGTATCGTTTAATATTGTACACTATGAGATAAAATTGTCATATTGCAATACAATAATTTAAGTCCTTTAAATTTTTCATATTTTGCATTAAATAATGAATTTTTAAACAGTATATATAATTACCAAAAATTGATCGTTCAATTAAATTCCACAATTTATATTCAAACACATTTAGGCTTTGTTTGGGATGGCTTTCTTCAATTTTTGTACTAAAAAACCTCTTTAAGAAACAGGAAGAAAACCGTCCCAAACAAAACCTTAGTCAGTTTGAGGTAGTTTTTCATTATTTTAATTTTCATATTGCAATCACAATGTTATTTAATTATTACTTTCTTGTTGCTCTTTAAAAATTTCTACGATAAAAAACTACTTACAATCATAATTTCTCAGCTTCAAAAAAGCAACTATAAAGCAGTTTTTTAGTTTTTTTTTTTAACTGCAAGAAAACAATAGCATAAACATGGAGAAATTATTTTGTGCAGACACCAGACGATGCGGAGGCCAACCAGAACACACCACATCACCTGGCACCCAGTGGTACCCAGCACCAGAACCTAGCAGTACCCAGCACTGGTACCGAGCAAAAAAGTGATGTGACACGTTCTGGTTGGCCTCCGAACGACGTCGAGTGTCCGCACAAAATAATATATCCTAAAACTGCCCCAAACAAAAGAGCTTGCTTCATTTATAAGTTCTTCTAAAAAAAAGTTAAGTGCATATGCAATTGAAAAGGTAAAATTTGCCAATGCATCCATTTGTGAAAGAAAATGCAAGCAGTGCATAAATACATTATCAAACACAAATATTTCAACTTCAAAATATTAATCTTAATTCTAAACCATTAATTGCAACAATTAATGTATGTAAAACGCATATCTTTAACATGAACAAATTTATAAGCCCTCGATTAAAGAAAAAGGAGAAAAAAAAAAGGCATGCTCAGAAATCATTCCTACTCTTTTAATGAAGAAGAAACTGCTGCACAAGCAACCAAACACCAAAAAGAAACCTATGTTACCCGGCTACAACAAACCGTCGTCTTCTACAAATGTGGAGAAATGTTGAATAATTGTGATTTTCATATGGCAGCCCTCATGGCACCACGAGCTGCTTCACGCTTCATCTCTGCAGCCTTCCCACTTCCTCTGAAGTACATGTAAACTTGCTGCACCAACATTTGATTGAAGATATTATTTAGCTGAGATGTTAAGGATCAAAATGCTAGCAAACTGAAAAGAAACTCGCCGAAAATGCATGCCATCAGACATGGCTAAGGCCTCCTTTGTTTCGGTGTTTTTTTTTTTTTTTTCTGTTTAGAAACGAAGAAATTATTTTTTGGTCGCTGTTTGGATGAATGCTTCTATAGAAATACTTTTTAGGGAACTTCATTTTTCTACTGTTTTTAGAAGCTTTTTGATATTTGCTTCTCAGTTATAAAATTCTATTTCCTTAACCATTGTTTCTAAAACTATTTTTTAGAAAAGGAGAAGAAGAATCAAACGAAGCCTAAGGCTGTGACAAAAGCTCCTGATTCATTTTTTTATTGTGTTTGCAACAATAATTAATTTGAGTTTAACTAGTTTTTATAAGCTCATTTATCTAATGAGCCAAACACAGTATCCAAAAGAGTATGATCCAAAATAGCCTATATATATATATACAACTTATGGGTGGTAATTGTATCGAGTAAAATTGGGAACACATTGTGGGAAAATGGAAAAATATTGAGTTATTTCCATAATTTTGATGAAACTTCCATCAAAATGATTTTGATTTTATAACCGAAATATTTCAATAATGTTTAGAAGAACTTCGTTTATATGGTTTAAAAATATTAGCATGGTTCAGCTCCACCTTTCGGCAAGTTTTTGACATAATTTGATTAGTCTAACTGAGAACACAATGATTATCAATAAGCATTCCTATAAACAAGGTAATGCATTGCCTATTTTTTTTCACATATCAGCAAGGAATCCTTTAGAGTCAGGTCTTACCAGGGCTAACTAATGGTTGGTAAATAATTCCAACACCTATTTATAAACTTAAATGTGAAAACAATTTCCTAATATAATTTTCCAAGCTCGGCATCTTTAAAATCATTCGTTAACACTAATTTTAAAACAAAAGCATGTTAAAAAGAGACAGAGTATGACCTGAATAACCCATATGCTCAGCAATGATTCAATGCAGAAGAACCCAAATCCAATGAAGTAGAATACCTGCAATAAAAAAGTATTCCAGAACCATATTCATATCTGCAGCTATTAAACCAAGGTCGGCAAAGCTCTTTTAACTTTGAAATTCCATGTTCATGCAGCGCTACTAAGGATTACAGGTACACCGTTTTCTAAAACATTGCCACCCATTATTCTGATAAAAAGCATCTTACAGAATAAAATGAAGGATACCTAAACTTATGAGTTCCTATGAACACTTGCTACTCTTCCAGAAAAAAAAAATTAATAAAATAAAAATAAAATAAAGATAAAAATAAAAAATCTTGCTACTCTTCCAGAAGTCTGATAGTCATATGAAATGATGAAATAAAAAAATAAAAAAAAATAAAAAAAAATGATGAAATTTAAGATAAGTTTGGTGTTTGTTGTGGTGCTGGGTCTCCCCACAACGCACCACATTCTGGCCAGGGCCAGATGTTAGAGGGATTGGCAAGAGTTGTGGCATCCTCCCCACATAAGGGGCAGGAAAATTGCCCTTCTGCACCACACCAAAAGTATCATAATTTTTTTGTAGTTTAGCAGGGAAACTTTTTGAGTGAGGATATCATGATCTAAATTTGATCAAAATAAATTTTCTAGTCATCAAATTTATTTTTATATGAGTACAATACAAGGGTTGATTGTTCCATTCATTTTAAAACAAATCCAATGGAAAAAATATCTAACCTGACCAAAATTCGGTTAGAGGTCCCAGATTCAATTTTTCTCTCTTCCTCATATATAAGCTAGCGTAAATTCTAGTCTAGTTAAGTATGATTGCAAGCCATACAATCTATAATACGACTTACCCCAACTATAACAGAATCTCCAATAACATCTACAGCTGCCAAGATACCACTGTTTGAGACAATCACAAAAAAAAAGATTTAGAAAAGCTATTATAACAAGATAAAATCTAACAAAATGTTCCACGAATCTCACAGCTAGAATCTTACGTTAGTGATTTTCCCTTGAAGATAATAGGAGGAGTAACAGCAGCAAAGATGCAGAACGCAATGTGAAGCTGTACAACAAAATGTGTGATTATTAATTATCTGAGTTTAGAAATGAAGAAAAGAAACAAATGAAAATCATGTAGTCGCATATACCACGTAAAAAAGGAAAAACCACCCAAATTTCAGAGCACTTTCAGTCCTGGAAATTCAAAAGATGCAGATTAAGCCAGAGTACAATGAAAATTATTAGTACAAGACACTACATTGCAAATGCAATAACTAAGAATAAGTTATAAAAAAACAGAAGAAAGAAAAGCAATCAGGAAAGAAACATTTGTTGAAAGCCTTGCTATACCTCATGGCATTGTAAAGAGGTCGATACCACAATACATAGGCTCCGGGACACCCCGAAATAAAGTAGATGATGGCAAGTAACCAAATTTTCACATCTGAAGGATTAAAAAGTCATTTAAAAAACTGAAATGAACTCAGTAGAGTAACCAAACGGTCACAAATATTTGTGATATACTAAACTTACTTGAAACCTTGATCCAAGCAGCTGTAACAGCAATAAGATTCCAAAACAGACATGCAGTCAATCCTGCAAAACAGTTAAATGGAAATTGCAATATACATTAGCCGTACACGTCTTCCAAATGATTACGAAAAGTATGCGGCATTTCAGAAGCTCCAGTGAACTACAAACAAAACGAAATCTTAACATCCCACATATAGCAAAGAGATGGTTTTTGAGACCAAGAAGAGCAGGTAAAACCAGCCTGGGGTTCTCTTGGCACAAGTACATTAGCGAAGGGAGAGCAACATTTTCCTGAAAAACGCATATCTCCTTCCAATTGCAAGTGCCAAGACAATTTTAGGTCATTTTACTGAGCCGTTCTTGGTACTAAATGTCAGCGCCCCACAGGGCATGATCCCATGAACAAAGTGACGCACTAGAATCAGTGGAGGTAAAACATAAACAACAAATCATAATGTAGTTATCAAGAAGCATGATAATTCTACTAACACACAATGCTTGCGGTGTTTCTTTTTAGAGCCATTCATGTTGTGGGCTCCGAAAATTCGGCCCCGGCTTCGGCCCGCATTGTTGCTTTTCTTCGGCGAGGGAGTTTTAACAGAATAAGTTCAGGCGTAAATTTGGGAAGGCAGATGGGTTTGTAGATAAGACACTATCCAGAGATTTCGCCCTCATTTTGTGAGGACTTTATAATCTAAGTTCTGGTTTCCTATAGGTGCGTTAATTACCCCTCCCGATAACAAGAGAGAACTTTCGATTAAGGCTAGTTGTCGATCAAATACGTAGAGAATACGTGTTATCTGTCATATAGTAGCAGCATGGGTTTGGGATTTGAGAATTTTGAAAGTTTGAAAGGTTGGAAGGTCTGGTATTTAAAATTAGAAATTTTCACCACCTTGCACTTAAAGCGGATGGTGGGGGAATGAATGATAGACCCGATTAAGATCCCATGGTTCCGTCGTCCTGGGCCATCATAGAGGAGGTAGTCGACCCAACCTGACAGAATGATCCTTGTTGGTAGCCATGGGTTGCTTCGTCCAAGGGGATCTTGTAGACCTGGTGTGAGTGTTTGTCTAAGGGGATAAATTTAAATCAACCTTAGCTAACAGAGGGCTTTGTGCCCTATCGATCATATCATATTGATTCATATCTCAAGGATTTGATTTCATTAAGAAACGTATTGGCTCTGGCCATAACCGGTATCTCGTTGTGCCATTTGGCGACAAAAATACTCGGTTCAGAGGGCCCCGGGTCATGACTATTTATCATGCGGTGTCATTTGGCGGCAAAACCGCCAGTCAAAGAACATGTATCACGTCCTTACCGGCATAAGATTATTTGAGAATGGATTCTAGTGATATTTTCGACTAGACATTTAGCTCTATGTGAGCTGAAGTTATATTCGAATCTGTTCACCTCGGCAAACTATTGCGGAGGGTGGATGAATTTTGCTTTGAGTGGTTTGATGATTGATTCAATTTTAAATATTTTGGATTTTCTGTGATTTTTGGATATTTGAGTGGAGTTTGGAAAGCATTTGAAAATATTTGTGAACCCCTCCGGTTGATATAAACATTCAACACGGGCATCATCATGGTGTATATGGTTATTTCTCTTTATTGATTGAACCATGTCAACCCTATCAACTTGCCGATAGGGGATCGGGTTTCATAGGCTTTGCATCTTTATTAGTGAATTCATATTGTTATAGGTCTTGAAGGCCTAATATGAATATATTAAAATAAATATACCGGTCACCACAGCCTCTATTTTTGTTTAATAGTTCGAACCCTGTCGACTCCTATTGATTCATGTAGAAGGATTAGGTTCGAACTTAAATTCACTTATTAACCCGCGCAACATCCCTAGAGGTCACGTGTGTACTAATAACAAGCTCGTCATGACACATGCGGGTGTTTGGGGACATTTTATAGTTATTTAGGGGCTGTTTGGTATGGAGAATTAGTAGTGTAAAGTAATTAAGTTGCACGTATTTGGTAAATGACTTTGTTTGGTTGATTTTGAGCGCAACATATATAATTCATCGGAAGTATTAGTGGTGTATTACGAGGGGCGAAACGCGTGACTTCAAAACCCGCTCAAATTGAGCGGGTTACAAAATCTCTCAGTGCAAAATACTGCGAGCCAGCACGCGGTTTTCGCGATATGTCGGAGGGAAGCAATGGAATCTCTTGGCTACCTCGGTCGTCCTTCCGCAGGCGTCTCCAGCTCTTCTCCGCCGGAGGAAGATCGTCCTCCTCATCAGAAGGTAACTTTCTACCTTACGCGCGTCTTCGAGCATATCACGTTAATACCCCGAACTACTGGATTTGGTAAAAAGCTCCAAAAATGGCGAAGGAAGCATAAGCCGAACAAAAGCGCCGCCGGCGAAAATGGCATGAGCGAGCCCTCGATTTTACAAACGGAGGGCGAGAAAATTCTCATATCTTCCCGCCGGTTCAGAGACACCTAGTCGGAGATCGCCGTCGATGCTTTTGGCCGGCGCTCTTGCGATATCACTCCAAGGTTCTCTCTTGATGCTGGTCGCATCTCCTTAGACGACCAGAGATGCTCGGTGGACAGGCCCAGGTCTTGGGATGGTTGTCTCGTTAACAGTGATCGATCCTTGCCTTCTAGGCTTCCAGCGAAGCTCTCCGTAGTTGAAGACTCCGTCCAGTGTACCGCATCATCCATGTGGAAGAAGATATAAAGACGCCTGGCTGCTCAGCGCAGAGACGGGACTACTATTCCGACTCCTCTAGTCGCAGAAGGCGTAGCCTTCACCGCTCTATCTCATCGCGAAGACACTCAGTTGTGCTCTGCGACACAAAACCAGCCATCAATGCCAATATTTTCGAGCTCTTTCATTGGAGCAAACTGGAGCGGGAGCCCAAGATTTGGGGCTCCAATTCCTTGAGAGAAAATTGCTCCGGAAGCTTTGATTATATTTGGCCTATTTCTCCATCTGAAATTTCTATATATATAGGGGGAGTTTGATGGTTCAGAGGGTGTATGGATTTGTGCCCTGATTTTAGCTATTTTATTTCAAGAGGAAAATGTTATTCGGTCAGCAGCAACCAACAGAATAATACCTTCACTATCTTGCTTGCTAATTTCAGATGAAAATAATGCAAAATATTTTGCTGCTCAAGCAATTTGTTGTCTTGTTTGTACCAGCGAAGAAGCAATTCATCTTGCTATTGCAAATGCAGGTTCTGTTGGAGGAGTAATCAGCTTAGTTGGTCATGTAGAATCAGAATCGCCAAACCTTGTTGCTTTGTCTTAAGAGTTTAATCTGGTGAGAAACCCTGACAACATTGCACTCCAGCATTTGTTTGAGGTAGAAGATATTAGGATTGGTGGCATTGCTCGCAACTAGTGGGTAGGAATATTCATCTCTCGCCTGGAGGCAAGCTAGGTTGATGGTTGGATTTAAAACATGCGCTCTTGCTGGCATCTTATGACGAGCATAAAATTATATTGATCCTTCATGAATGTTGATAATTTAAGGTAGGTTGTTAGAGATGGTTAAAAAATCTTGGAAGAGTTTCAAATGCAATGTTTTTCCCTATTGAAAGCAAGTCCTGATGAGCTTTCTCATCTGTTTTTGGTTATTGCAAACCTTTATTCATAATTTAGGCCTTGAATTTTATATGACCAACTATTACTGAATCAACCTACCTCTGTTGTTTGATCCAATCAAAGGCTTTTGAAAGTCAGGCTTTTGAAAATATGGTAATCTTCTATAACTATTGTTTACATTTCTATGCATGACAATATTATATGCTAGCGTGTTTAAGGAACAAATATTACGTCCTCTGACCGGACGTAGAGCTACGTTCGACCGCCAATAACATGTCGTCACGTGCTCTTACTCTTTACCGCGCGGCCCGACGACTTGACCCGGACCGGAACCCGGGAATGCTATGTTCGCGTATTGCGAGGTATTACTCAGTATTTGCTCGGTATTGCTTGGCAATAACGAATTGCTCGGTATTGCTTGGCAATAACGAATTGCTCGGTATTGCTTGGCAATAACGAGAAATACCACTCTGTAAATACAAATACCGAGTAATACCAAGCAATACCGTGCAAAAGTGTAATACCTTTCCTTTTATGATTCATTTTTATTTTAATTATTCATTTGTATTTTATTTTCAGTATTGAAACTTATGTTTTAAAATTGCTTGGACACAATGGAAAATATAATTTTTTTTAATGATTCTTCCATTTATTTGACCTGGAATAATTTTATCCCAAAAAATGATCTCTTTTTAGATTTGCTGGCCTCAAACTTTTATTTTGTCGGTAAATTTCTTATAAGTTTGAGATGTACAACACTTTTAGTTTTAGATGTTCTGTTGCTCTTTACAATCTTTGTTATGGGTACATCAACATAAAGTTGAAGTTCTATGGATAGAATTGCTGCATATTTTCCGTTGATTTCCCCATTCTATTTAACATTTACATAAACTTGATGTCATTTGGAGATAATTAGAGAAAAAGAACTGATGTCCCTTGCTTGGCACCCATTATGGTATTTTGGAGGCTTATCAGTAGTATACATAGCCAAGGGATACATAACTTGGTGCAATACATTTATACATTTGTCTAATCTTCTATGAAATCTTGTCCAATTTTTTTATATCTTATAATAATAAAAAAATTTATAATAAGACCGTGCAATAAATTAATACACTGGTTTTATTTTATAACATCAAATAATACTAATTATTATAAATACACTGTTTTTATAAATGCACTAGTTTTAATGTCAAAATAAATTATTTAAAAAAATTACTTTTACTTTACTCTCGATCTACTTAACCAAACAAGGGAAACAATTCTCCTGCGTTTATTTTGCAGACAACCAAACAGGCTCAAAGTATTTAGAATGCATTGCATTTACTTTACATTGCATTTCTTTTTCAGGCAACCAAACAGCCCCTTATTGAACCTTGTCGGCTCTTATTTGCTTGCCTAGAAGGATCGAGTTCAAACTGATTGGCCCGCGCATCATCCCTAAACGTCACGTGTATACCAATAACACGCTCGCCGGGGCC